AAAAAAAAAAAAAAAGAAAAGAAAGCAAAGATGAACTAGCTAGCATGGAAGATTATAAAAAATAATGCTAACAGTTTAAAATATTGGAAAAAAGAAGAAAAAAGATAAAAACAACATTTGTTTGCAACCTCAAGGACCCGAGTTTGATCCCCGGTACCAAAAAAAAAGAAAATTGTACACATGAAAAAATGTGTCACAGGGAAAGATTATAGGCAACTGCATGTATGTAGTCCACGAAAGCTGGGTGGCCTTAATGACCTTTAAATGTATTTTGAAGTCTAGCATCATGGACAGTAATTGCTTTTTTTGTTTTGTTTTGTTTTGTTCTGTTATTTTGAGACAGGGTCTTGCTATGTAGTGCAGCCTGGCCTTGAACTCACTGTAGCCCAGGCTGGCCTTGAACTTACAGTGTTTGGCCTCCCAAATGCTGGGATTACAGGCATGCACCACCATGCTCAGCCTTTTTTTTTTTTTTAAAGTATGATTCTCCTTAGAAAATATATTCATATCCATTTTCTATGTGGCACAGATCTTTTAGAAAAACAATTTTTTTTTAGTTTAGTTGACATTTATTGTTTTACTTGAACAACCTCTATACCCAATCAAAATGTATGGGCCTTTTGTTCATTTTGTTAAGTAGAAAGTTCAGTTCTCAAGGTTTTATGAGCTTGTCAACGAGTATTTTTGGGAAATCATTTAACTAACCCCTTTGAAGCCCCTAGAGAAAGAAACATTGGTATGGAAAAAGCATCAATTACAGTATATTTTAAAGTCCTTAGTCTTAAGTCAGCAAGCTCAGAATTTGAGTTAAGGGCAGGCAGTTTCTTCTGTACTTTTTCCCTATTCAAATTTCACCTGGGAAAGAGTAGCTTGGTTTACTGGAGGACATGGCAAAAACAGAACTGAAGTGGGGTGGTGGGCTTTGTGGAATAGCACGGATTTCTAAGATAGTCTGACCAGAGATGAAAAAAATAACAGAAAACACAGATCAAAAAACATGAACTTGTAGTGACTCCAACTTTTCTTAATGTTCTCATGGGAGTGAATAAATTGAGTTGACCCAAAATGGTTTGCTGGACCTGCCAAACCCAGCCCTGATTTCGTTTTTTGAGACAGGGTCTCATGACATAGGTTAGGCTGGCCTTGAACTCAGAGCAGTCCTCCTGTCTCAGATTCTCAAGTGCTGGGATTAGAAGTGTGCACCACCATGCCTGGCTAAACCATACCTATAAATGGCCAATCACACTTTTCCCCAATGTGGCCAGAGGCTTTGTGATGGTCAAAGTATTTTCAGGGACTTACTGAATGGCCGCTGGCCTGTCAGCTCCCTGTCCCAGCATTCAGCACTAGCTTATAGACCTTCAGGTAAATAATTCTTATTTACCTAATGTTCATTCAACATCTGTCAGTTTCAAAATGTACCAGTATAAACTGACTACTGTGCACCAAATTCAGAATTCCTTGGAGCCAAATGACTGAACTAGGAGCTTTCACACTTTATGTGGACTTATAGTATTTGGTACTGTGGACACTTAGGCTGTTTTGTATAAATTAAGCTAAATTTATTTCATTTGCAAGAGAAACCTCTTGCAAAAGGCTTTTGGATTTTTTCTTTTTCTTTTTTTTAAATTTTTGAGACAGGGTCTCACTATGTAGTTGACACTGCCTTCAAATTTGAGGCAGTCCTCCTGCTTCAGCCTCTCGAATTCTGGGATTATAGGTGTGCATCACCATGCCCTGCATGCAACTGGTTTATTTTTCTGACAGTGGTGACACTTTGGAAACATTCTTCCAGAAACAGCCGTTGTCCAAATGAAACACTGGATTAAATTTGTAAACAAGCTCTAGTTGAGCTCGAATTTTTTTCTATATATGACTATGATATAGGATTAAGATATCCTCTTCCTATCCTACAGTTTTTTAAGTAAAATCCAGTTTTAAGTTTTTATTTGCTAAACTCCAAGAAACCAGCAAATTTTATTTTATTTTGTTTTGTCCTTTAAAGATATTTATTCATTTAGATGTACAACATGATGTTTTCATATATAAATATACACACAAAGCAAGGGAATTACTACTATCAAATAAATTGGAAGGTCTATTCTCTCACATAGTTCCTTTCTTTCCCTGTTCTTTCTCCTTCCCCTTCTCTCTATCTCTCTTTCCATTAGATCCCTAGACTTCTTCATCTAGGATAACTGAATCTTTGTACACTTTGACTTACATATCTCCTCATTTCTTCCACTTCTCCCTAAAATTAAAAATATATAAGTATATATTCGTATATATATGTATATATATATTCCTTGTTTTTAAAAGCATGACACACTTAATTAAAAATTTT